TAACACTCTGCACTGTGCTCATAAAGCTGATACCTGGAAAGAATCGTTGCAGAAGTGTAGCTCCCTACTTCTGCTTCACTGTTAGCTCTGTTAGCAATGTTACCGTTGTTTGCATTGTTTGTCCAATTAGCTGCCAGCCATCTCCATGTTGAGAGCCGTGTGCAGACAATCTCTGTTAATATCATATAGAGCTTCTTCAATACATTGTGTGCTCTCTACAGTTTGGTCATCAATGCACTGGCAGGTTTTGAGGTCTTTATGCATGTACTAGGAGCACATGTTCCATTTGTGTTTTAAGGGTCCAGTGCGTGGGATTCAATGGCATCTAGTGGTGAGGTTGCAGAACTGACATTTTTTTACATGTGTGGAGCTTGTAGGAGAACTACAATGGCTGATGCAAAAACATGAATGGTCCTATTTAGAGCTATTTAGAGGTTTCTGTAATGACAATAAAGGGGCTTTCACACTGCTGCGCCAACCTAGTCTCATTTTGAAGTCAATGATTATTAGCACTTGGGCAGTGACTTTTGGCATTAGACATAGCCAAAAAAGCCATCCTTTCATGTCAGCATGATATGCGGCAGGTTTCTGTTACTGTGTAACGGTGCTGGCAGCATCGGGGGAAACACAACGGGACAACAATGTCAATTAATGGGGCGAAAATACAAGTAGGATGGGTGGGAGTGGTGATGGATGGGTCCAGCAACCACCGACTTTAAACTGGAAGGACGGTGTGCCAGCAGCCATTCCTCCTCTGTCGTCCTCTAATGTTACCTGTTGGCATGGCTGCTGGAAGGCTTTAGCTCTGGAGATTGGTGGTGTAACGTTACCTGTGAATGCTGTACCCCAGTGCCCACAGAAGAGGAATGCCTCTGTTGCAAGGAATGGGACCGTTTGCAACCTTAGCTAAATGGTAAACAACAAACATGGCAGCACACCGGTAAGGTAAGACAACACGTTTACATGTTGTTTTCTATATGTTCTCTGACATTCATCCTAACGATATGAGGTGGTCTTTGTGGAGAAAAAGCTTGTTTAGTGGACTAACTTTGCACTTGAAAGGATGCCCGTTCAATTACGTTTTAACAGGTCTGACGCTACGGCTGTATCTAGGCTAACGGCTAACATGCTAACTATTATTTCTATGTCACTAGTGACTTGAAACAAATTTAGGACGATAGGAGACAGGTTGAAATAAACCGAAATTTCCCTTTAAGGACGAGGAGAGGGGCTCATTTGATTGGTGTGATGTGTGTAAAACCCACTCCACGCCTTCTCTCCTCCCTCTTTCCGACTTGCGCAGGTAGGAGGGACGGAGGTGGGAAACAGGAGTAGCTACGCCAGGTGCACGGTGTGCCAAACTTGCAAAATCTACCTGGCCACACCCAGTTGGCGAAGCGCAAGTGCGCTGCGCCCCCGCCTCGCCCGGTCTGCGTAACTAGAGCCCCTGGAGTTATGGTGCCAGCAACTTGTAAGGACAACCAGAAGAAAAACTAGACCTGGGAAAACTTTTTCACCAAACTTCAGATGACTGGTAAACTGTCCAAATATGTAGAAACCTTTGGTAATTTCACTGATTTCCGTTGTCTTGCAGCTGCTTTTAAAAGTGCTTTGCTTATTGGAGGAATGCTCTTGCAGGTAGGTGGTTGTCAGGATGATTACTGCGCGGCAGTGTGAAAGCAGCTTTACAGTCACCTAAACAACATGGTGGACTCCTTGAAAGAGACCCACTTGATATGTAAATATAAATGGCTCATTCCAAGACAACAAACACACAAGAATCAATATTTTCAGGTGATTATTAACTCATGAAAACATAGTTCTGATGATTATATTCCATTCCTGCCAATAGATGCCCCTAAATCCCACACACTGGACCTTTAAACCTGCATTAATTGATATTTTGGCACGACAGGCTGTGAAAACAACACCAATATATTATCATATTATAAAGTTGTTATGGCAACATTAGCATTCATACGGGGACATTTCTGTCCACCTGCCAATGTGAGTCCAATATTCAGTCTCCTTTTTTGCTCTTTCATTCTCTATTAACTCCCGAGGGAAATATCTGGCTCTTGAGCTGCTACATGTTCCACTATGTTCACCAGCTAACTTTGTCTGTCAGCCTCGTAGTGCTGGGCAGGAAGTGTACAGTGAGTTTATGAGAGCTTCAAATGACACCTTTTACACATGGGCGGATTGTGAGACAACAGGTCCCTGGGCACATGGTCATTTAAAGGTCCCCACCACCTCCTACATAGGAGCAAGACACACAGACCCTGAGCCAATTTGGCATCTCTTTGTAGTCGTTGGGCATCTTTTAGTCTCTTTGTAGTAATTTTGTGTTTCTTTGTGATTGTTTTGTCTCTTTTTTTGGGTTGTTTTGTGTCTCCTTGCTGTTTCGTGTGTCTAAAGCACTATTTGGATGGGATTAGTTTTACATGGGCACGTGGGGTAATGTCACTTTACCACAGGACGTCAGTAATATTAATGGCCGATTCGCACGGGATAAGAAATATCAGTAAAACTACCACAAGTGGGAGGGGTAAATCCATTCATGCACCGCCGTGCCCTCCTGCCATCATGAGCGTATGATAGGACTGTCAAAAGCACCATGAAATTGGGTTCCTCTGTCGGCGCCTCTCCCTCCCGCTGTGTCCCTCTCTGGCCCGGCTCGTGCACGAGCCATCTCCGCCCGAACAGGATTTGCCGTGAAATTTAAGGTGATTTTGTGTCTCTCTCAAGTCCTTTTGTGTCTCATTGTAGTCATTTTGTGTTTTCTTGTGATTGTTTTGCATCAGTTTGTAGTTGTTTGGGTCTTTTTGAGGTAATTTTATGTCATTTTAGTTGTTTTGTGTCTCTTTGTATTCGTTATGTATCTCCTTGTTGTTTTTTTGTCTCTTTGTCATTATTTTCTGTCTCTTTGCAGTTCCTCTGCATGTCTTCGAGGTCTTTTTGTGAGTCTGCGTCATCATGTTTACTCTCTTTCTGGTCATTAGGTGTTAATGTGAGCGACATTTTGCCATTGAAGGCCAGGAGGCTCTCTGTCACTTTTGGCCCCTGTGCCTGTGCCCGATAGACCCATTCAGTAATCCATCCATGCTTTTACATTACACATTATGTTTTGATGCATTGTTAATATAGAAATATTGATCAGTGCAGCTTTAAAGAGTAACTAATTCAACATCATCTTATATAAGGACCGTCCGTGGACTCTGGTTAATCTTGATTTGAGTATGTTTCCTGGCAGCCTGGAGCTGGGGAGATAATTAAAACCATCAGAGCCATGGTTACAGTTATGTATGTGTCTGTGTGTCTTTGTTGTATCAGATCTAATATATTCCATGTGTGAAAGGAATCCGAGGGAAGCATTTTACTTTAGTTGAATATGAGTTGTCACCAGAATGCTCATCTATGTGCTCAAATAAAAAAACAACCCCCACTCAGCTGCTTCTTAAAATAAATGATGTACACTCCCCTTGGCTTCAGATCCTGTGCTCTGCTGCCCAGAGTCTATACATGTAGGTGCCAGACGCTGCTCAGGATTAGCTGGTGAGTCAAGTGTCCTGCTGCATTGGACCCAATACCCATTCACCAAACAAGGTGCTGCCGGCTGCCACGTCGATGCAGGAGAACTAATGCATCCATATCAATCCATCTTTTTACCTTCAGAGTCGTCTCCAGATAGTTTTACTGAGGATACATACCTGAGTTTTACTGTCCTGCTGTGTCTGAGGGAGCGTCCTTCCCATCTGACAGACAGGTCAATCTCCTTTGAAGTGGCTCCGTCTCACTCACTGATGGGGAGGCCAGAGAACGAGCCTCCCCCTCAAGACCCCATTAAAGCAAAACCCAGGGTCCACAGGTTTGATATTCATCGCCTGGGCAACCTCTGCCATCAACACATTTTGTGCCACGTGAGAATGATCACAGCTTATTAAAGTGGAAATAATGACTGCTCTACCTCCGGCATGAAATATTTAACAAGGACAAAGGAGATGGCTCAAAGGTGATTCATATCTGTGTTGAAAGGAGGGAACGTGGACAATACCGGCTACGCAGGAAGTGCAGATGAACCTTGGTTAACCCGGGCTTAGAAGAGACTGTCGGCACTTGAAATTTGTGTCTTAATGGAGGCAGAAAGAGCAGAATGGTGAAAGAGGGTGTTCTGAATTAATGTTTATTAGGCATAACAAAGATGTTGGTGTAACAGCGAGCAACATCCTGCACGGTACATTTCCCTCTGTTCACCTCATAGCATTTATTGCACAAAGCAGACACTCAGGTTTGAAATGTATGTGTTAACCATCATTTCATTGTAATCATTTCTCTCTCATTCGCAAAGTGCTCAGAACGTATAGAGCTTCCAATTCCTGGATGTGAAATTATTGATGTATTTTTCCTCCTAGCTTTGGTAAATTAGCTTTTTTGGCCCCTTGGGAAAATGAGGGGAAAAGAGCCGAGTGAAAATGTTCTCCATCAAGTGTGATTGAATTGGATTTTACAAGATGAATTGCCAGGACAAGAGTTTATCCCAATTACATTGCCAAGAGGTTTCAGTCCTGCTGCAGCCACTCTGGTCAACAGCAATTAGGGTCAGCTTTGAGTTATCAGAATCCTTCATTGTGAGAAGATGTTTACAATGCGAGCAGAAAGTAGATAAATGCAACAGGCCGACATTCGCAACAGCAAAAAGCGGTTTGTGGTTTGGTCCAAGAATTCATGAAATTACAGATCTGACAGCCAAAACACGAGCAGAGCAAAACACAGCTGTCTTTTCCATAGCCCACACATCTTTAAATCTAGTGGGATACAATGCACACGACAGAGACTGCCTTTGGCTCTTTGTGTGGCTGTCCATTTTCCTTACTCTGGTTTTTCTATGTCTTTGACGTATGATTTGCTGATGCGTCTTTCATCTGAAGACCACACTTAACCACAGACAGTGGCAATAAGGCTGGTGACTGGCAAACAATGAGGTGATAATTATGTCTTACCTTCCCCAGACTTGGGCTCCACAGATATCTCAGGCTGAAAACACACAGAGCCAGAACGAGGAAGACCAGAGCCAGAACCAGAGCCACTCGCTGATAGGTGTGGTACTTGGCCTTCTTCTCTTTTCCCGCCTCTACCTGTGAACAACATACTGTAGGTTCAATATTATACATGGTGTTAACACAATACCTCACAGCCCGTTGGTAAGAATGAGTTGATAGTTTGACGTTGTGGAAAATATGCTTTCTTGCTTTCTTGCCAAGACATAGATAAGAAGATCACTCTCTGGACTGGAAACAGTGAACCTGGCTCTGTTCTAATGTAAAAAAAAAAAAA